GCTATATAAAATTGTATGTCCGACGAAAATAAAAAACTCTGTATGTACGGAATGGTATGGTAATATCATAGATTGTTCTTGCGCACCCAATACAATTCTGCAAATTTGTATTATTATTTATTACAAAATATGTGACTGGATTTGCTTAGCTATGATGTTAAATTATAGTTTACAATATATTATAATATTATATTGGGTTTTTGAAATTATTGCCATTACTTTTCGACAGCACAGTTATATAATACAGCATACGTATTAATTGTATGAACAATATTGTTGATGCTATAAACTTCCTCCCCAAGCCTCAATATTTACAGCAGAAGCGATTGCAATATACAAAGCAGCCAAATATTTCCACTCAGAATGCGTAAGCCCCGAAACTAAATGCATAATTCTTAGCGACTCACTAAGCAATCTAATAGCAATCACAAATACAAGTAACCCGCCCGATACCACAAAGCTCATCCAAGAAGAAACCTTCCAGGCTGGCAAAAAAGGGAAACAAATCCTATTTGTATGGATTCCTGGACATAGTGGTATACTGGGAAACGAAATAGCGGATAAAGAAGCTCAACATCAACCACAAATATAAATTCCATCACATTCGACGACGCGAAAATCGTAATCAACACTTACATAAACAATAAATGCCACTCCCACTGGCGACAACTTAACACTAAACTCAATCAAATTAAAAATAACACCAACCTATGGAAAAATTCCGGACTTAGTAGAAAAGATGAAACCACAATCAACAGACTTCGAATAGGACACACACATCTAACGCACAGCTACTTGATGAGCAACGACGAACCTCCATTATGCGACACATGCAGAGTCCCCCTAACGGTAAAACATATCATCACCGAATGCCATAAATACAACCAGTACCGCGATCAATTCCACATCTCCGAACAAATCTGTCAAGCACTTGGACCAAACCCACAGGACACTAACAACTTAATTTTATTCCTTAAAAAATCAGAATTGTGTAACTTAATTTAAAAAAAAAAAAAAAATTATGAAATATATTATTGTAAATACCTCTTAACTTAACACCTTGTACTAATGACCTAGATGTCGATGTATTCAAGATCAATAAAAAAAAAAAAAAAAAAAAAAAAAAATATTGTTGATGTATATGAACGCCAATGAGAAAAAATAAAAACAATAAAATATGGTCTTGCCGGTTTGTATACACTCGCATGTATGAATGTATGATAGTTAATAAAAAAAAGTCTAAATTTTTATAACACTTGCAGCACACTGCAAATGCAGTAGGTATCCCGAGCTTGATGCCTTGATTACCATAATGCAAATCAATTCAATATGTTAATGATACAATTTCAAATTACCCTTCAACGTGAGAAAATTGGGAACGTTTTTTACAACTGAAACGTTTTCCGTGCACCTTTTGTGTACCATAATTTTTTCATACCGTTAAAAATATATAAACCTTATATATTGCTCTATACTAAATCTTGTATACACACACACACACATACATAAATATACATATTACATATACTTAATAGTATCTACAATTGCTTGAAAAAAAAAAAATACTTAAGACTTATAAAACTACTTAATAATTACGACAGGAAAATTCTCTTTTTTTTTTAAACACCACCTAAATTAAATTAGTACTTATTTATACGATTAATATAGGTAATTATACAGGTATACAATAGGTATTATCTCTAATTAGTCTTATAAAGATTTCTTTATTGAAGAATGAAGACTGTCGAGATATTTAAATAAAATAAAATAATAATTAACATTTTATAATATATATAAAAGAAATTATAGTAGGTATACGTTACAATTTTTAATTATTTTTGATTATATCCTAATAAAATATAAATATAATATCAATACTGCGTTAAGTGGTCTTACTAGGTAATACTATATTCTTAATTATATACGGGGACGTTTTATATTTTTAATTGGCTAGTGAAAAAAAAAAATCCAAATTGGTATCTACTTAAATATTTTTTCGTCCTCTCAGCCCAAGACATTGAAACGGTACTTCTTAAGGTATTTATCCGTTTGCTAATAATGTGAACACGCTTGTTTTTTATGTACTTAATAATTCCCTTTTTTATTTCTGCAATAATTATATGTATATTACAATATTCGGGAGAGGAAAGGATTTCCCGTTAAATTTTATAATATGAAAGGAGATAGGGTGTTTATTTGGATGGGACAGACAACTATAATAGGCAGTGGCGTAACTTCAAAATTTGGGCCCGGGAGCGAAATTTTCAACGGGCCCCCCCATCGTCCAGGTACCTATATATATTAAGAAGATCCGAGGGAGTGTATTCACCTTACTAAAATAATTAAAAAAATTTTTTTTAAATAATAGATATTAATTTAATACTTCATATTATATACATACAAAAAAAATTAGTAAACAGTTATAGCAGTTGTAATAAATAACAATTAACTCAAAACTTAAAACATTCTTCTGGACTTCTTATTTGCCAAAGTAGAAATAATATCTGATGTATTAATTTCTTTCGCAATTTTCTTTTCTATTGATATTATTGCCAAACTTGACAGACGAATTTGAGACATCGTACTTCGAAGATAGTTTTTAATTATTTTGAGTTTAGAAAAACTTCTTTCTGCGGTGGCCACCGTCACTGGTATTGTCAAAAAAAGAAAACAAGCTGTACATAAATCTGGAAAACTTGCTGCTATTAAATAATTTGCTTCATCTCTGATTTGCTTTTCTTGATTTTCGTTTACTGTGTTATGATTTTGAAATGAATAAAAAGCCATGCATGCCATTTTATGAGGTATAGATTTTTCATGTCTTTCAATTCCTCGTGATGTATGGGCCCAATCGTTAAATCCTCGTATCCATTCTTGGTGCTTAATATTATTGTCTCCAAAAAGCCAACAAGGTTGACAGTAACATTTATGGAGCTCCGGTGAATAACAAAGCCACGATCGTGAAATACGCAGTCCAGCTTTTGATACGGTGTAATAAAATGATTCGTCAAAACATCGTCCAACCGCATTACGACTGAAAGGACCACTTGGTCTACAAGGACCATGTTCAACAATAAATTGTTTATCTTCTACACTCAGATGTCTCAGAACTGAATTTTGTATATAATTAGCTATATCAGTAGGATACTGTTTTGTGCAAATGATCGTCATATTTTTACTTAACAATATATCACAATCATCAGTATTGTTCATATTTTGACAAATATCGATAACGTTATTTTTTTCGGAGTTTTCATGTGGTATTTCAAAAACAGATGTAGTTATAGTAGGATTTTCCGAAGTAGATTCAACTGTATTTTTTAAAAAACTGTCTAATTTGGGCAGTTTAGCATCTTTCAATTTTTGTTCTATTTTTTTTTTGCGCTTTTGTGCTCCACTCATAGGTTTACTCATTTTAAAATATAAATTTTAAAAAAATAGAACAAATGAATACGCGTAAACGAACGATAACGAACAATAACGGCTACACGAAAATAAAATCGAAATATACGCGATTGTCATCGACTGACCGACCGACTACTACAAACTTTACGAACAAACTAACAAATAAAGATTTCAAATAATATCAAAACGATAAACGGATAACGTAATCGTAATGATTAATGACAGACGGTCGATTGATAGCCGGTCTATTAATAAATATATGTTAGGAATAAAACCCAACTTTTAACAGTAATGATAATGACTCATGAACATGACGTAAAACGTTAATATAATAATGTTCATACCCATACCGCAGCGAAAAAGGTCGTATCTAACAATTTTGAATTAATAAAAAAAAATGATTTGTTCAATACTATATTAATATATTATAATAGAAAAATATAGGTAGTTTTAAATTTTTATTAATAATTAATAGAAAATTTTTTTTTATTTCTTTGGGCCCCTATACGAACGGGCCCGGGTGCGACTGCGCCCTCTGATCCCTCTTAGTTACGCCACTGATAATAGGCCCGCTCGAGTAAGTGGCGGGTACTATAATCACTGGCCAGGTTATGCGAGGCCTAGACAAGCGCGTTTGTTTTTATTTGGGTTGCCCTGAAAAGGACAGTTTATCTTGTATTTCGTAAGTTTTCTGTTGATTCACTAAGCTGGTAACTCCTCCGTATGTTTGATTGGTGTGGCTGACGTTCTATGGTGCCCTCGCTGCTGCTCGTTCTGCCCGATCGGGTCTCTATGTCACACGGGTCTCGCGGAGGCGCATCGAGTACTCGCGCCGAAGTTCCGGCCTAGACCATTCTTCGGCGTCGAAATATAACGAGAGGTTACCGTTGCGTTACTCCCGTGAACATAGAGGGATAGGCAACCAGCGATATTCAGCCGTATCTCACTCGTTGGGGCGCTGGAACGTCGTGACTGTGAATCGGCGTAGCCACTGACTTGTACGATCTGTCTGTGGCGATGCTCTAAAAGAGTTGCGCACGGGATCGAACTTATTCACGTTCAGTCGGGAAATTGAATGCCGTGGGTCGGCGACCGCTTCGTCGTCGGACCGTACGATCAAAACTATGGCGATGCTCAAAATGAGTTGCACACGGGATCGTAGCGGTTATTGTCCACCGGAGCTCTCGACTGTCGCGTATCGGAATCAGCGTCTTCGTTGATATATGGGTCGGATTGTTCACTGGATTACTCCTTTTGATGTTTCTTGGTTTCTTCGGTTCTTCTATCTTCGTAGTGGTTGAGTTGAAGTTTTGAAGAAGTTGGGTATTGTGCTTTGCTTTTGCTTTGCTTTGGGGGGATGGCTAAGCCGTGAAACTATACCAGGCTTTTGCCTCTACTAGTGGATGGATGTTTAGGAAGGTGGTTTTAAATTTGTTGGTCAGCCCATGTCAAAGGGTAGGGTTTGATTCTACACTTTGTGGATGGTGGGGTGTGAGATTTCCCCAAGAGTCGGATGTGGGCATTAGTAGAGAACCATTAGTATAGAACTCAACCAAATTTTTTTTTATATTATTTTTCAATATTTTATTGTAACGATGAGTGATCAAACAACCGAAACTTTCGGTCGATTACTGTCTGAACACAGAAAGGTTCGGAAACAACACTTGGACTATCTATTAAATGTCGTGGGTGACGAAAAGTGGAAGGCGTCGAAGGAGTTCATGCCGGCAGTAAAAACATTCGTTTACCCATGCTTTTTCGATGAAGACCAAGCATGTCGCGAAACGACCATAAAAATTGTAAAGACTCTGGTAGGCACTGGGACTGGGTGTGTTGAAGACATCGCACCAATTATTTGTGTCATACAAAACTATATAACACACAAATATCAATTTATTGTATAAATTAAAAAAAAAAAAAAAAAAAAATACCCAACAATTTATATATAAAATTGGTATTTGGGTGCGATACAGTTTTGGGTATTGTGCTTTGCTTTGCTTTGCTTTGGGGGGATGGCTAAGCCGTGAAACTATACCAGGCTTTTGCCTCTACTAGTGGATGGAAGTTTAGGAAGGTGGTTTTAAATTTGTTGGTCAGCCCATGTCAAAGGGTAGGGTTTGATTCTACACTTTGTGGACGGTGGGGTGTGAGATTTCCCTAAGAGTCGGATGTGGGAATGAGTAGAGAAAGAGTTTTTGTAGAACATCGATTTAGATTGGTTATGAATAGAATTTTTGATTGAATTGAAATTTGCTGATTTTAGAAGGACCGAATTTTTAACGATAGTGGGCATACCCGTTATCGTGCGAATGCCGATGTTTTGGACAGATTCGATACGTCTCCAATGTGAGGGACCGATGAAAGGAGCCCAAGAGGGGCCAGCATAAGAAAGAATTGGAGAGACGTAGAGTTTTAGAATATTGAGCTTTGAACATTTTGGGACAGGGCTAGAACGGTTGAGAATGGGGTAAAGAATTCCGCGGACGCGAGTGGCTTTTTTGGTGATGTCTTGAACGTGTTTGTCGAAGGTGAGTTTGCGCCCTATTGTAACGCCGAGGTATTTGGCATGATTGGACCAAGTCACTGGATGGTTGTCGAGTAGTAGTGGTGGGATGTGAGTAGTATTGGAACGTCCGAAAAGAATACCTATTGTTTTGGTAGGGTTTATTTTGATTTTCCAGCGATGAAACCATGTGGTAGCTAGGTTGAGTTGGTGTTGTAATTGTATGGCTGCACGTTTCGGGTTTTTGTCGAAAGTAAAGAACATAGTGTCGTCAGCGAATAGTGAGAGGTGAGCTTTAGGAGTTGTTGGTATGTCGTTAATGTAAGTCAAGTAGAGAGTAGGTGAAAGGCAGGATCCTTGAGGGACGCCTGCGAGTATGTGTCTGGTGGACGAGAACGAGTCTTCGATTTTTGTGACAAAAGTGCGGTCAGTGAGAAAGGATTCGATGATTTTAACGATTTCAGTCGAGATGTTGAGTTGGGACAGTTTGTAGAGGAGACCGACGTGCCAAACCCGGTCAAAGGCTTTTTCCACGTCAAGGAAAATGGAGGCGGTGTTTACGTTGTCGTTAAAGTTCTGACTAAGTTGGTGAGTAAGTTTGGTCAGTTGTAGAGTGGTAGAGTGTTCAGGTCTGAAGGCAAATTGTTCTGGGCGGATTTTGTCTCGAAGATTGGTTTGAAGGTGAGATAGGATGATTCGTTCGTAAATGTTTGATATGGAGGAGAGTAGAGCGATAGGTCGGTAATTTTCGGGAAGTGTGTGATCTTTACCCGGCTTGGGGATGGAAATTATTACTGCTTTTTTCCAAGCACGTGGAAAGTAGCAAATTCTGAGGGAGCAATTTATAATTTGTGTTAAGGAAAGTAGAATGTTATTCGGTAGAAATTTAAGAGCAGTGTTGGTGATGAGATCGTCACCAGGGGCTTTCTTTTTGCGGAGGGTGTTTATGATTTTTTGGATTGTGCCAGGAGTGGTGAATAAATTAGATTTTGTGATATTTATGTTTCGAAGCGAGTTGGAGTGGGCAGAAACTTCTGGAAGGTCGGGACCAGGGTTTGGTTGGAATTGGAGTTCGAGAGAGTCGGCTATCAACTCGGCTCGATCGATGGCCGGAAAAACTAGACCGTTGGGGCCGGTAAGAGGGTGGGATGCAGGACGTTTGTGGAGGAGACATTTGTTTAGTTTGTATATGGAACCGTCCTGATGGTCAAGAGAATTAAGAAAAATGTCCCACTGGTCAGTTTTGTGAGTTTCGAGTAAAGTTCTGATTAGTGAGATTTTGGCGTTAAGTTGACGTTTGGTAGTCGGGTCACGGTTTCTTTGCCATTGGCGGCGTAATTGGTTTTTCTCAGTTATTTCAAGTTTTATGTAGTCGGGTAGTAAAAAGGAAGAGTTTTTGTGTTTAGGGGTAAATACGCTAGCTTCGATCGCGTGTTGTATGTTTTTGGTGAGAGTATTTGGGTTTGGTAAGTTGGATAGAATTGTCTTGTATTTTGTCCAGTTAATGAAGCGGTTAGTCGTTGGAGGGGACGATGATACCGGAGTACACAAGGTCTCCAGAAGGATAGGGTTGTGGTCAGAAGATAGCTCGTTGAGGTTGTCGATTTGAGTAGGATAAGGTAGTCGAACGAGTGCGATGTCAAGTATGTCAGGTCTGTATCTAGCGTTTGTCGGGAAGTGTGTGGGGGATGAGGGAGCAGTGATGGTATAGTCCGATTGTTGAACGTGGTCAAAAAGTACGCGACCGGCAGCGTTTGTCGAGTGGCTATACCAGAGAGGGTGTTTGGCGTTGAAGTCACCTGCAGAGATTTGCCATTCGGCACTTTGGGTCAACAAGTCCAAGTCGTGAGACGTGAGTGTTGCACCTGGTGGTTTGTATACCGCTGATACAAGGACTTCGTGGCCGTTTAGTTGGATGAGGACAGAAGAGGTTTGAATGAGTGTGTTAAGAGTTATAGGTTGGTGAATGATGCGTCGGTGGATTAGAACAGCCGTGCCGCCGTGAGCAGGCGAGCCGCGGACGGGCGGCAGGTCATTCCTGTATGTGAAGAAATTTGGAATGTGAAGTTTGGAAGAAGGTGGTAGATGGGTTTCATTTAGTAAGATTATGTCAGTTTTCAGTAGGAGTGCGAGGGAGCGTAGTTCGTTGAGTTTGTGTTTGATACCGTTGGAGTTCCAAAATAGGATTTTTAAGTTATTCATTTTGGGGCGAGAGTATGGACAGGAATGTTTTGATCGTTGATTCTATGAGGGTTTTCGGATCATGATTATTGGATATTGCAGTCAGTAGGTTGGTGAGCAGGTTTAGTATCAGCGACAAGTTTAGTTGTGGGACTGGAGAATTTGAAGAAGAGTGCGCTGATTTTGATGTTGCTGCGGAGTATGTCAATGTAGTGTTTTGTTTAGGGTGAGGTGGTGGAGGAGGGGGGGTTGAGATTGGGTGCGAGGATTTATTTTGAACGAAGTCTTGGGTTGGAGTTGGAGATACCTGCTGTTTCTGGGCCATGAATTGGGGGCAGCCACGAAAGTTTGCCGTGTGTTGGCCGCCACAGTTGCAGCATGTCGGAGGTTGCTCGAGAGTTTTTGGACAGGCGTTTGCATTGTGGTTACCGGCGCATTTTACACATCGCGGCGGATGACCACAGTTACGTGAACCATGGCCAAAGCGTTGACATGAAAAGCACTGGGCCGGGCCGGAGGGTTTGAGGGGTTCAACTGAGATTTGCAAGTAAAACAAATTTGTGAGAAGAAATATGTCCTTAGCAGACGGATTTGCGGCGATGTGCACTACACATATCGGCATAGGTTTTTCGGGGGTGCCAAAGCGGCGGACGTAGTTCACGGAGTAACCTAGAGTAACTAACTCGTCTTTTAGTTCGTCAGTTGATATATCAGTCGGAATGCCCTTTAGAACGACTTTTACAGAACGTTCCTCGGGGAGGGAAAAAGTGTGGAATTCGGTTCCCAGGTGTAACAGAGTCTTTTGGATCAGGCGGAATTGGGTAGTATCGGCTGCTCGTAGGGTTACCCGGTCGCCGGAGGATTTTGCTGATAGAGAGCTCGGTTGCAAGTTTTGGATTGAATAGATGGTGGGCGCGGCCTTCCGCCAGGAAGCGGAACTCAGTATGATAGGTGGAGGTCTGGAGACTGAAGGAGTTTTGGACGGAATTTGAGTGGCTGAGAGTGAGGTGTTTACTGAGTGTACGGAAGTAAGTGATGATAGGGAGTGGTGGGTTGAGGTGCTAGAGTCGGAGAAAGAGTCTAGGGTTTCAGAGTCGGAAGCACTGGAGTTAGATTGTATTGGGGAAGGGGAAGCGGGTATTGTGCATTGCATTGCATTAGAAGGGATGGCTATGCCGTTAACTATTCCAGGCTTATGCCTCTACTAGTGGATGGAAATTAAAAAGAAATGGTTTGATTTATTGGTCTGCCCAAGAGAGTGGGTAGGGCTTCAATTTACGTTTAGAATTTGGGGGAGGGTGTGTTTTACCTAGAAGTCGGATGTGAGCATGATTCGAGAAAGAATTATTGTAGAACATTGATTTGGTTTGGGAACGAATGGAGTTTTGAATAGATTTGAAATTTGTCGATTTTAGAAGGACCGAATTTCTAACGATAGTGGGCATACGCGTTATAGTGCGTATGCCGATGTTTTGGACGGATTCGATGCGGTTCCATTGAGAGGGTCCTATAAAGGGGGCCCAAGAAGAGCCAGCGTACGTTAGGATAGGTGAGACGTAAAGTTTAAGTATGTTAAGTTTCGTTGTCGTTGGGACGGGGCTAGTGCGGTTTAGTATGGGGTAAAGCATACCTCGGATGCGGGTAGCCTTTTTGGTGATGTTTTGTATATGTTTGCCGAAAGTGAGTTTGCGCCCGATGGTGACGCCAAGGTATTTTGCTTTGTCGGACCAGTTAATGGAGTGGTTGTCGAGTAGTAGTGGTGGTACGTGGGTGGTATTTGAGTGTCCGAAAATGATACCTACAGTTTTGGTCGCGTTTATTTTGATTCGCCATCGGTGAAACCATGTGGTTGCAAGGTTAAGTTGGTGTTGTAACTGTATGGCTGCTCGTTTTTGGTTGTGGTCGTAAGTAAAGAACATCGTGTCGTCGGCGAATAACGAGAGATGAGCTTTTGAAGTCATCGGAATGTCGTTTATATAGGTCAAGTAGAGAGTTGGTGATAGGCAGGATCCTTGAGGGACGCCTGCGAGAATGTGTCTGGTGGACGAGAAAGAGTCTTCGATTTTAGCGATAAAAGTGCGGTCGGTGAGAAAGGATTCGATGATTTTAATGATTTCGGTCGGGATGTTGAGTTGAGAAAGTTTGTATAGGAGTCCGGCGTGCCAGACTCTGTCGAAAGCTTTCTCCACATCAAGAAATATAGAAGCGGTGTTTATGTTG